GTCCCTGTGTTCCAACAACGCCAGCCTGGCCCTGGCCCTGCGGGGCCACCTCCTGTCCTACGAGTTCCCGGCGCTGGGCTCGGGCCGGGCCGTGGCCACCGCGGGCGGGTTCAGCTCCAAGGGCCGCCCCTACCGCCACCTGTACAGCCTGCGGCTCTGCGGCCACCAGGTGCCACGCGGGGACACGCGTGGGGAGGGGGGAGAACACGGGTGGGGAGGGAGAACATGGGTGGGGAGGGAGAACATGGGTGGGGATGGAAGGAGAACACGGGTGGGGAGGGAGAACATGGGTGGGAAGGGAGAACATGGGTGGGGATGGAAGGAGAACACGAGTGGGGAGGGAGAACACGTATGAGTGCAGGGGGCAAACGCGTGTGCAGGAACAGGGCAAACACACCCAGCGTGTGCAGGTGTGGTGTAAACACACGTGTGCCTGCGGGTGTCGTGCACACACGTGTGTGCAGGCAGGTGCAGCGCAGACGCGTGTAGGTGCGTGTGCAGCGCAGACACACGTGTGTGTTCACACAGAGCCCAGACACACGTGTGTCTGGGCTCTGTGTGAACACACACGTGTGTCTGGGCTCTGTGTGAACACACACGTGTGTCTGGGCTCTGTGTGAACACACACGTGTGTCTGGGCTCTGTGTGAACACACACGTGTGTCTGGGCTCTGTGTGAAGACACACGTGTGTCTTCACACAGAGCCCAGACACACGTGTGCGTGTACACAGAGCACAGACACGCGTGCAGCGCAGTCTCACACCAGGCTCTCGCACACCCAGCTGCTCCTCTGTGTGTGCACGGCCCTTGCACTCCCGTGTGCACACGCGTGTGCCCCGCTGGCTGATTGCTGTCCCGCAGGGCAGGAAGATGGCCACGTGCCGTGACAACGTGACGGGGCAGGACAGGGACACTGCCCGCCTGGTGACATCCTACGTCTGCCAGGCCATCCTGATCCCTGCTGACGTCATGGGCTACAGGACGGCCGTGACGTCACAGCCCGTCAGCCTGGCCGACCGGCTGCTGGGTGAGCGTCCTCCCGTGGGGACACCCCGTGGGGACACGGGGACACGGGGACACCCCGCAGGGACACCCTGCGGGGACACGGGGACACCCCACGGGGACACCCTGCGGGGACACGGGGACGCCCCGCGG